ACACGTGGTAAGCTACTCAAATATAAAAATATCGATCGCTATTATACTCGTGGGCTGAGCTGCTGGTTTGGCTTTTGGTACAGGCCGGACGCGACGCTGCGGGAGATAGCAGACCTGGTGCAAGATTCGAACACCGACGCCCGGAAGGCCAACATGCGTCTGAGCATCTGCGTTGTATCGGAGACAAGAGATGGAAGGTGAGGCCGCATCATTGCTGCAATGGGTTAATGTTTCTGTCAGCGTCGTGACTAATCACTCGTTGCTGCAGAGTGCTGATTAGGAAGGTGGGCTACGTCAACAGTAGTCGTCGTCGATGCGTTGACGACGCCAAGACGCTCGCGAGTGTGCGCTTCCATCCAGGCGATATTGTCGATATTGCGATGGTTGAGTAATGCAAGTACCAGTACATATGTACCGTATTTGAGATCTCCTACTTCAGACCCAATATTTTTGAAGTTGTATTGTTGCAAAATGCACAAGATCTGTACACGTACCGACGCATCTCTATCACGTATTATTTAAACAAAACAATTTAGTTATCAAGTTCTTCTTCGGGAACTACGAAGTTTTCAATGTCGTGACGCGTATCCACAGCATGGCGCACTACGGGCACTTCTTCCAGCAACCGTCGTAGCAGCTCCCAATCAGCTTGTAGGCGTATGAAATGGCAACGCGCTTGAACTTCTTGGGAGGCTTGCCAGTGCCAGAAATACGGGTTCTCCCTTTCCGTTGGCCGAGCGGAGTGCGCGCCATTGCAAATTTCTGGCAATGAGCTGGTGGATAGTTACAGTTTAGCATGTTTTTTGTACTCTGAATTAGGAGATCTAGACTTGTGCGCTGCTCCATTCTCGATATGTGATTGGTTGGAGGGCAGTCTGAATTAGGAGATCACTCTGAAGTAGGAGATCTCAAATACGGTAGTAGCGAGGCAACAAAGGCAGGCAGGTCAACAAAGTACATGTGTTTGAAAGATAGTAACCTCCTCTCTCAAATTATATATCAATTTTGACACTTCGCATTTTTGAAAATGGTGCTAGTAAGTACGGACACGTTCCTGGCCAAGGTGACGGAGTTCTACGCTGAGGCGCAGGGCTCCAAGGGATCAGTTGCCGTCTCCTGCAAAAGTGGTGCGTAGTTTGTGGAGATTAACAGCGATAACCCCCATCTAGGTGCTGCATTCTGACGTTTAGTACTGCTTCGATCCAGTTCCTGTGGCCAAGGTGAACAACAAAGCTCAGCAGAAAATCCTTAAGCTCACGGTGGAGGACGGAGAGCACGTGCTGCTGTTTCTGTGCCTGTAAGTACGGCAACAACAAGCACAAGAAGAAATACAGCACTGTGGTAAGGCTACAAAAATTAGTCGTGGAATGATGAAAACGAGGCGACGTGGCTAAGTGGACTCTGCTTGCAGGTGACGGCGGTGAACCACGCGTCGTTCCATGCGTCTCTGAGCCAGATCGTTAAGACTAAGGTGGATGTACCGACTAAGGATGCAGTCGGCAAAGGCCCCAAGCGAGTGGCGGCTAAGGTCAAGAAGACAACGGAATAGATAGAAGGGCAGTCAGGTCTACAGAAAAGATCGAGTAGAGCGAGAGAGGGAATGGAAGAGTTCTTGATGATTACAAAGTTACAGGGTACTGTACTTTCGTCTATCACTGCGTGGACGCCGGAGACGCAGCGATGATCTGGTCCTCGTCTAGCTGTAAGTAGGTGTTAAAGGCTGGCAGCTCGTCGATGACGCTCATGTCCCCCAACACGTCGCCTAAATAGTGATTGCGCCTGGATGTCCGTCGACGACCTTCTTGCAAGCCAGTGCCAGACAGCAGACGCCCCACCATTGGCATGTAGTCGAGTGTAAACCGCGGATCCGAGTTTCCACAGCTGCATCAGATTCAAATGAGCATGACGTGATACAACTGCCGCATGATCAGGTTGAATAACGTACCCTTTGTAGGCCAGTGGCAGCTCGTACCTCAACTTTCTGCTGCGCCATATCTGCTTGATGAGAACGTCGACGTGTGGCCTCCCTGGGCACTGTCCAATGTCCGTTGAACGCATTCAGAAGCGGAAGATCCTTGGTCTCGCTTCAATGACGCGCCAAGAGAACTCGCGCTTAACATGTAAAGACTGGAGCG